TTTTGTGTAGAAATCAAACACATAACCGAAATTTTCCTGCGGAAATTTATTCCGAAGTCTCATCAGAATTAAAAAAGACTCTGTATGTATATATATATTTAAAGCATTTAATAGTCAAATGCCAACTCTAGACTGAACTCTGCAAGTGGTGCTTCGATGATATAAGCGCTAATAGAGAAGAATATGGTTTCAACAACTTAAAATATGATAAGACGATAGACTTTAATGAAAGATCTATCCGTAGCGTCAGTAATTAAATATTAATTAAAAATTAAACTTACAAATTAAATAATGCTATAATAATAAATAATTTTAAACACCCACACACTTTTCTTTTAATAATTAAGAAACAAGAACTTTATAAATTCTATAATTTTATATATATAAACTATTCAAAATTATATACATATACCATATAAAAATATTTAAACTTTATCAGTAATATTAATATTATATTTTTTATTTACAGTTACGGTGGCATACGTGGAGGATATCAACATTTTGGACCACAAGGTGGACAAGACTCTGGTTTTCCAAGTCCACGTAGTGCACTAGGTTATCCATTCCCGCCCATGCATCAAAATTCATATTCCGGCTATCACTTGGGTAGTTATGCGCCGCCATGTGCAAGTCCACCAAAGGATGGTAAATATAAAAAAAAAATAAAAAAAAAAAATGACAAATGAAATGCTATATATATTGTTTAATCAATAATACAATAAAGTAAAAATTGTGTTTGCAAGAATCAAAACACAGCAATTGTCACATTCCAATGACCAATTGACCTTTTTCCCGTATCTTTATCTAAACTATTGAACATGTTATTTAGGAACAATAATGGCGCTTATGTGTCACGTGAGACGTTTTCCAACCGAAAAATACCACAAAAAGTACAAAAGCGATTTTTATCAGCAATTCGTACTGTTGTGAATGGGTAGGGACTAAGGACAGAACGCTGTTGTTGTTCTTTTTATTATCGCAGTGAGGTTGATCGATGGTTGGTCATGAACTGTGGGTAGTCTTGTTGACATTTTGGGCTCTGACGAATGGGTTTTTGTGTTTTTTATATTGGAAAAATATTGTTATGCTAATCGTTTTATTAATCGTGCTAATATTTAGTTTAGTTAAAATATTCGCCATCATTATAAGGCTATAGAAATGAATATTTTATGAAATAGTACTTTTTATTGATTTGCAGTTTGATATGTTTTATTTATTAAATGAGTTTATACTGTAAATTTTTAATTCTTTGATAAAATAATTTAAAGATACTTTAACGAAAATAATTACTTTTAGAAAAAGTATCAGTTTGTTGTGGAAACTGGAGATTATTGAGCCTTGATTCTTTGAAAATCAGCTTGACTTGTGGTTGGATATCACAAATGGCTCTAATACATAAGTAACTACTTACAATATAAATAGAAATTAAATATTTAACAGATATTAATTGAATTTGTAATATACGTGTCTATACTCAGAAAAATAATTTAGTTGAATTAATAAATTTTTAACTAAATCTGAAGACAAGATATTCTTACTCGACATATCATATTGGTTTAACTACACTACATATTGGTATTTATATCTTCTAACAAAATGATCAGGTCAATTTAACTAGTATGTGGTTAGAGCATATTTTTCTGAGTGTACTGATAGCCTACTGATAACATTTTGACAACATACTAGACTAATTAAGATATAAGATATATAAGATATAGCTTTTGGGATCACATTTTTTTTATTCTAAAGGACTATGTTTTGCTTTTGTGTTCTCTTTCCTAGTAAATGGTTATTATATATTATATATAGTGTTTGTTAATATTAGACCAAAATATTGATACCCTAGAAGACTATGCTCTGAATTGCTACTCTTTTTCCTAGTAAAGGATTATCATATATGTAGTTTTTCAATTTTAGAGCCAGATTTTGACACCTTAAAGAATAAAGTTTTGACGTCGTATTCACTTCCCTGGTAAAGGATTATTATAGATATAATTTTTTTACTAATTAAATAAATGTTTAAATTTTTTTGTTTTGTATTTTAATAGAATGCATTTTAATTCTACTGATCGATTCATTTTTTTCCAAAAAAAGAAAAGACTATTGTGGTGACATAATTGCGCGCTTGACTGTGACATTTTTCCAAAGTGAAATATTTCTTTATATTCAACTTTTTTAGGTTTTATGGTTGAGTAGTTTTTAGTTTGAAATTAGAAAAAAAAAATTACTCAACGATTTTGTGGTTATAAATGTATACACCAACGCCACTGACGAGTTCATAGTCGTGCCATAATTAACCTTGATTTTATTTCCAAATATTTTGCATATAACAAAAAAACTTTTTTCTTTACTTTCATTTATTAAAATTTATATCTTTTTGTATCAATTGAGATATTAAGTACGAAGATACTTATTCAAATTACTGCGCCACTGTGCTACTAAGGCAAGTCAACAAAATCTATCAATGTAATATAAATAATTTTTAGTTTTTTTATAAAATTTTTTATATAAAAAAAATAATAATAATTTTTTATTATTATTACTAGGCATATGATAATTTATATACAAAATTACACAACTTTTGCCATAAAAATATAAAACAAAAATATTTATCGCAGACATAAATCTTTTCAAAGTTTTTTTATAAAATATTAATTATACAATATATATATTTTCAGCACAAAGTATATATATATATATATGAAATATATATACATTTAACAAAAAGTGTATATTAATAAAATATATTTCATTAAACGTGGCTTTTGAACTGTAAGTTATATTTCAGTACTGACAAACAACTGACGTCAAACCCTAAGTAGTGGGAAAAATTTTTTTATATTAATTCTTTATCGTGATTGATAATGTGATTTTTTTTGTATCTAATGCTTTTCAAAATAATTTATTTCAAACAAAATATTTTCGAAATTTTCCAAACGCAGATATTTTTTAGCTGAAAGCCGATATACATATATAAAAATTTCTAAGAATTCAAGAGTCGATAATTTTAATTATCAATTATCGAATTTGATTACTCGTCATAGAACCCAAAAACTCTAATAACAAACTGGACTATAAGATACGAACAAGTGTTTTTTATGTCTTTGCCTCGATAAAGCGACTGTAGAATTGAGTAACATCTTAAACTCTAAACATTTAAGACCAAGAATGCAAGAGATCTAAAGCAAGTACGCAGGGCATCTAAAGCAAATAAGATGAAATGTCTTTTACAAATAATAGTAAATTAGAAGATAGACAAATTTGTAACAGTTAATAAATTTATGCAGCTGTGGTTTATGTATTAGTTTTTATTATTATTATTATAGATAGACTGTGCATTAACTCCGACCTGAAAAACCTTTTGAGTAGCCTTTCATTCAACTAGCTCAATTCCAAACTTGCCACGGCTGGACAGGCACATAAAACGTACTCTGCAGTTTCATCTTGCTTTTGACAGAATCGGCAGGAATCGTTTTCTGCTAGCCCAATCTTTTTCAGTTGGTATCGCAATCTACAGTGACTTGTTAGCAGTTCCGTGTACATTTTGATATCTGTTCTGCTTAAGTTTAAAACAGCTTCAGCCGTTATATGTTAGGAGGAATTAAGCCGTTTTGACTGTCTCATGCCTTTTTGAGCTCTCCAGAAGTGTGTTACGTTTTGTTTTATATATTATGTTAGTTATAAAAATAGTGCAAGTAGATATTAGCTTTGTGTGTTAACATGCAAATCTATGGTTGTAATATAACTGGGGTTAATTCTGGAAATTTGCAGTACAAAAAGTTATACACGAACAATTAAACCAATAGATGTTTGCAAAGGCTAGGGGTCTATGAATGAATATCTGCTTGGGTCAGCCCAAGAATTGATTCGGTTAGAAACGAAATTTTTGCACTATTATTCCCACTTAAAATAAACATACAAATAAATTTTATTTTATTAGTTTAATTTATTACTACAATATATTTATAATTTTAATTTCATTCTACCAATTAATGGTTATTAAACTTTAAAAGCTACTTTTTATAGTTTTATATGAGTGTATGCAATATCAAGTTAAGAATTATTTCCATTTCTGTTCCATCATTAATCAAAAGATACAAATTGCAAGAAATAAGATAAACTAATGTGGGAGGATATTTGTTTATATTTTTTTTATTCGATCGAAAGTATATACGCTTGTGTGCCTACGAACATTGTCATTATTTATTAATTTTGTAAAATATAATGTCAATTTAAATGTGACTACTTTGCCTGCTTTACAATCACTGTAATTTCAATATCACTTATAATTAAAAGTTATATATGAGGCTCAGTGCTCGTAATGATGCTATTCATTTATCAATTTATTTTATGAATGAAATGTCTAAAACTATGGGGGGTGCATTCTATTTTATTTATTGTAATTGCTGCTAATATTATTGCTGTTGCTCGGCAGGGAAACTATCAACAAATAACTAATTAAATGGAAGCAAAATATAATTTATACAAAAGAACTTGATATATGGGCAAGATTGTGTGAAATAATTTATATTGTAAATTACACAATGACAATTTAAAGATTTTTTTTTTTTAGATTTATAATAAACAAATTGTATAT